GGCTTGCTGAGGATTGGTGGGGGCAAGACCATGCATAGTTTTGGGGAGATACCCTGACTGAGGAGGATCGATAACGCATGGTTGCTTGGTACTATGCGCCAAGGTGAAGTTGGATGGCAGCGGGCATCTGAGCCGCTTGTCGGTGGTTTGTGGCTTTAGATGTAACCATATCGATAAAAAAACTTTGTTATCCCATTTTGTCGCGTACTGTGATGTACATGTTTGAACAGATATGATTGATTTCTGCTAGGCGCTTGGCTGGGAAACTCGAACGACTCGACGTTGATTGAGTGTTTGTCTGGCGCGTACTCCGTAGAGGTCGATCGATCGATCTCTTGATGTCGTTCGGAAGCCATGTTATAGTGAGTGGCACAACCCATTTTCGGGGAGCATTTCCGGGTGTTCTGATGGCGAAGCTGTCTGTGTCTTTGAATGCGACTCACGACATGGCTGCAATGACCTCGGACTTCTGAAGCGATTGTTTTGGCATGACAACGTGGCATTTCGCAAGAAAGGTTTTTGTGGTTGAGTTCACAATTATAAACTCAGCCGTGGTGCAGAAGTGGAGTGTTGTTGTGTTGGTCTTTGGTGTAAGGTAGCCGAGCTTGGTGATGCTTCCGCGGCGTCAAGGGTATCGACTTTGAACGAGAAATACACGAGAGTATATGAAACCACAGTAGAAGAAAGGAAAGCATGTAGTTGGAGGAGTGTGAGTGAATCATAGAGGGTTGTGATGTGGAAGGGAAGATGTCAGTGATGGACTGAACGCCGTGGGGGAATGCCATGATAGTGAAGAGATGTGCCAATACGAAAAGATCTCAAAACGGTGCAAGTCAGGCCGAATCTGGAGACAAGCTATAATAGCAGACATTATAGTCTCGTACTTACGAGCATAATGCAGAGGGAAATGGCCATCAGCGCATATCAAACAAGTGCTTTGCTTCTGTCGGCGTGAAGCAGAGTCCCCGTCTGATGTGGCAAGGCGGGGTTGAAGGAAGGTCAGCAGACAAAGAGGAGAAAGTACGTACCAATACGATAACAACCGGACGTATATCGCCATAATTACTCACAAGTACGAGGAGCTACTTGTCCCAGTATCACATCGTGAAATGCAGTATTCGTCGTTGACGGGTTTGTCGCTGGTAGGTTTTTTTCGTTTTACTGGTAGAAATTTGGGGGGAGTAAGGTGGACTTTTTTGGTGGGCTGATGGGGGAGGGAGGAGTACTGTTCGGGAAGGAACCTCGCCTCGCCAAAACAGCAAACAGTGTGATATTGGTGCTGAGAGTTTGACTACCCTGGACAGATAGGCCTGAGAGAATTTGGTGACTAACACTGGGAAACCATACTAGGGAAAACGATGTGATATTCTTGAGAAGGGCAATGAATTGGGGTTGGTTTGTGCACACAAAGGCATTGTATTTTTTGATATTCGTTACCTGCGATGATTCAATACTGCGGCGAAACCACTCGCTTGTGGCCTCAACTTATGTGAAACTATTGCAATTAGAAGACTGTGACAAGACACACTGATCACCTGGCTACACACAAGGGCAAAGAAACCTTAGGACCTAGAGCCTAAATCACGAAGCCTAACATAAGCTCAAGGGGCTCTTTAATGAATCTGTTTCACAATACAACATCTCCAAGTTGCACCCACTACACATCAGACTGCATCGGCACAGGGATCTCTCTCCTTAACCTCCTCTGAATCTCCTCAAAGTCACTCTCGTTCTCTTTCGTGATGAACCCCTTCCTGATCAAGAAGTCGATCATGACAGGACACACATTCGGCTTAAACTGTCCCGCCAACATGCGCTCTATCACTTCCTGACAATCCATGAGCACAAACTCCTCCACTTCATCGTCTCCCGGTCGAGGAATAACATCCTTCGGCATTTCTAGATCGAAGACGTAGATGATATCTGAGTGGAATAGCTTTGACTGCTGGTTGATGTTCGCCAGTGTTATCGCTCCCGCTGATTCAACGCTCGACGAGACGAGATCGGGCGGGAGACAGGCTTCTTCGGTAGATTCGGCTTTGATACATGCAAGTGGTGTATCACTGGCCTTGATACCACCAGCGACAGTACTGTCCAGCAGACCAGGGTAGCTGAAGAGGTGACGGCTCCGTCTCGCAACCCAAATCTTTATCTTACCACCATCATCGCGTACATACCCCGTCAAATGAGCGCCCCTCGTCGCAATGCCAAACAACGGAGCAGCAAACCTCTCCACCTGCACGAACTCCCTCGCGCCGACTATGCGAAAGTACTCACTGTGTTCCTTGTGCAGAATAGGAAACAGATCATCGTCAATGGCTTTATCGACAGCTTCTTGAAACGCAGCATTTGCGTGCTCTGTAAGTGTTGAGCCAGATGGAGGTTCACTCAATGTGACGGTGCGGTTGTTATGGTCGATGGCGAAGGATGTGGGCCATGGCAATAGAGATACTGTGGCGGGGAGGATGAAGCCATGGGGGCGAGGGTCAGGAGAGAGAAAGAGACGGTAGTAAGAGGCGTGATATGTTGCGAAATCCAGAGGAGCACTTAAGTCGTTGGTATTCTGTGAGTTTTGTGATGAGGGAGAGGACGTACTTGTCAATGGTAGTGATGAGATCGAGCAGGTTGAGGCCTGTCATGATGGCGGGGGTGTCGTGAATCGAGTAAGTCTTGTAAAGACCCCTCTGTTAATATACGAGATGCGCTGAATGCTTGATTGATCTTGATGTTGTAGATGTTGCAATGAGATTAAGGTAAAGAGCTGATGAGAGTGGAGATGCATCTGATTCTGACTGGACAAGTTGGCCAATGTGAATGGAGCACAATCTACCACAACTGTTTGTTTGTATGTATTTTCAAACGAGAAATCTTAGCAAACCAAAACATCCTTTTAATTTGCCTAATCCTTTCTATGACCACGGATCTATCCTGATCTATATCTTGAAGTCTCTATCAAGTCAAAGTCATAGCTTCAGCTCTGTAATAGAGCGGCCCATCAACCATCACCTCTCATCATCTATTCGTCCCCTTCGTCATCCTCACCAAACAACTCCTCCATATTCATAGCCTCGAGTGTATTCTCAAGCACTCTTCTACACCTCGCTCTATAATCCAACGCCAACTGCTGATTCCTCGTCAAGTCACCTCCGCCCACAACCTCCACGTCCGTCTCAAGCAACCTTTCCAGCTCCTGCATGACCTTGTGCTGGATGATGGCCGCAGTCTGCTGAAGGAACATTCGCCCGTCTTCACTGACTTGTCCGCTGAAGAACTTCTCTTGCTGCTCCTGCTCTGAGCCTTCGCTGATAAGTGTCGAGCGTTGTTCTGGTGGCGCGAGCGTGCAGAATATGTCCCAGACCATGTCGTGCTGGACATGTTGGAAAGCTCCGAGGATAGGGGCTGAACCACTGAGCTGGACGGTTTGTTTTGAGCGTGCAAGGAGGGAGCTGGGGTCTCGGATGGGTCGTAGAGAGATATAATACTCCTCTGTGGCCTCACCCTTTGCAGGCTGACGTTTCCGCACATGAACATAGTCGTTGTGCAACTCCTCCGTCTCAGGGAGCATGAACCCATATCCCAGCAGTAGCTCAGCATTTGTCTTCATGCTGTAGTTGTTGAAGACCTGCTCCCCAGCCTGATACGCTTTCTCAACCTGGAGACTACAGCCATTAATCCTTTCATTGCGTACCCATTCCACTTTGGTAGTCATATCATGATTTCCTACATCAAATAGAGGCATGAGAACAGAAAAGTCGTCTAGCTTGACACCTTCGGGAAGACGTTGCTGATCCTCTGGCCCAAGAACAAGACTCGGGCGGAAACTTCTACTTGAGAAGATACTGTACGCCCATTGATACAAAGTCAATGTGAATTGTTTGAGAATGTCAGGCTCCCACGACTCAGCAGTCAAAAGATCATGCGCCGTCTTGAATTCTCTCTTCACATTGGCTCTTATGCCAGTAACTCCAACCCCGATATTCGTCCCTTCAAACAACTCGGCATCCTCGTCTGGCCAAAATGGCGGAAGAGACCAAGAATCATGATCCTCAGGCTGTGGTAAAGCCTGTATATATGGCGCCCAGAAAGACTCTCCCTTTAGTAGAAAGTGCTTGATGAGAACAAAACGACCAATGACATGCGGCGGCGTTTGTGCCAAGAACCCCGCGGTAAAAGGCTTTGGGTCATCTCGGCCAGGAAGAGTGTTGAGATATGAGAGCGTGAGAGACGAGGGGATGCTGACGATTGTGTCAGAGGGCGCTGTAGGGGCTGTTGCGCGGAACGAGAGGCCTGTTTCGGGCAAGTGAACGACTTCGACTGAAGGATTGATACTTGCGCCTTGAGAACGCGCCCATTTTAATAGGGCAGACGCATGCTCTGATGAAGCCATATTGAGATTGAATGAGTGAAAGAGTGAGGGTTGAAGAATTGTTGATGTCTGTGCCCCACCTTGAAAAGTGGAAGAACAAGCCATCTATCTTGAAGTGACGTATTGGAGATCATCAAAATATATAAAAGATTTCAATTAATAAACGACTGAAATTATGCCTTATACTAATTATAGTACTAGACAGAGGTAAAAACAAACTTGAGACCTTTATCTTAAGTGATAACAAAAGCTTAGGCAATTTAGTCTAAATTGAGGGTAGCCTTTACTGAATTTATTTTGATAACCTCTTCTAAAGTTCTATATTTTCTTGCTCCCTGACGGTGTCTCAAAGTCCTGAGGAGTAAATAACGTTGCTGGTATCAGTCAGAAGAGCGTCTATCACCCTCGACAAAAATGAGTTCTCATGTTCCTTCTGGCATTACTGCACCATGTCAGACCGAAATTGTTGATGAATAACTATGTATTATGAGTTATGGCGGAACTAGTCATTTCCTCACAATGAAAAGTCTTGAATGAAGTTGGCGTTATTACTGTATTGATTGAAACGACTGGGCTCTGAATATCCTCGCCACTACAGGCATCGTATCCCAAAACTATAATTATACTTACCCTCTTAGACAAGATCTGTACTTCTCGTCCTAACCCTCCTGAAAACAGGAACAGCATCTCTCCCATTCCCAACCCACTTCACAACATCCTTCCCAAGATCCAACCCCTTGACCTCTTTCATCTTTGCAATCTCATCAGCGGCAAAGCCATAGAACAACTTCAGGTGATCATCTCCATCCCCCAAATCATCTATAGTCAGTCTAAGTTGTTCATTCATAAGAACGATACTACTGATCTTCATATGCTTATGATACGTCTCACTCGAAAGCCTCTCGTGAAGAATCTTCTTCCAGAGCCTAACAGCTGCGAGAGATTTATCTTGAATTACCCACCAGGGTGAATGGACATCCTCGAGCGGGTCGTTGGGCCATTGAAGCCAGGGGACTTTAATGGCGATGATGGAGTGGTCGTTGGGGTTGTCGAAGGAGCGGTAGCAGCAGACGCCCTGGGGGTTGGGCCATTGGAAGCTTAGATATGAGCTCATCTTGAGTGCTTACTTACCTTGGGTGTATTAAAATATTAAATATTAGATGTTGTCTTGAAACGTATTTGGAGCTGTATTGTTTAGTCTGTGATTCCAAGGTAAAGGTGATGTGCCGTCCTTTTATAGGTATGGTATGAGATATTCATATTGCGCAGTCGTTGCTGGGCTGTCAATCCATGGTATCTGTTCAGGAGTTTGGAAGTGTAAGAGCAATGGAGAACATGGTGTTCGTGCGTGTTTGCGGTCGTCTATTATAAACCAAGCCTTATGCAAGTCGAGTCTCGAGGCGAACAAAGGGAAAGGTCGACTATCAAACAATGCCAAGCTTGAGAACAAGCCCGAGGTAGAGTCGTTATAGTATTCAGTGGCTTGAGCCAACCAAAGGTGAGCGAGAAACTAAGAATCCAGTCACTGGGCCAAATTTACGATCTCACGAATTGCCACTTCATCCAATGGAACACAGATAAGAACCAAGATCAACTTAGTCAATAGATATATATGCACATTTTCTAACCCATATCTCGCGAATAACTCCGCTAAATCAAAGGCCCTAGTGAAACTCAGCCTCGACCCTTCCATACCTGACCCCATCAACCTTCAACTCAAATCCCAAGCCCGCACTCTCGACCCTCATTTCCAGTGTGAAATCTAAATTATCAAACTCAACGCCTCTCGTCGTCGTTAATCTCGTAAATAAACTCCTTGGAACGGCGTTGAGGTCTGTTGTGAGGGTACACACGTGGATCAGGTCGCGAGTGTATGCTGCAGGTGGTTCGTCCGCGTCACATGCTATGAGATCGTCGGTGACGATGAGGGATTGACCGGGGCGGAAGTTGCGTGTGTAGTGGAATGCGATGGGTGCGAGTGGTGATAGAGCCTCGCCCTATTATGTGTTAGAAGTTGGGAAAGAGTTCATGAAAGTAGGAGACGTACCTTGGCAATATGCCATTGCATCCGGTCGGAGACCATCCAGCGTTCCCATAAGGGAGACCAGTATCGTTCACTGACCGAATGCTTATCCTCGTCATACACAGTAGCATACGATGTACCATAGTGCATTCTCGACTTGCGAGAAATAACCATGTTGCCTTCCAGTCCTCGCAAGACAGCACCTCGCACAACCGCCGTCCAAGCATACACTGGCTGCATCACTTCGATGGAGCCCGCTTCCTGTGTGGAATTGGCATTGGCGTGCGTAGGCCTCTCGCTGTACGGCGGCGGAGCAGCGCTTGTGAAGTGGTTCTTGAGCCGACGATATAGGTAATCACTCTGGCCAAAACCTCCGACTAACACGATGCCGGAGACAATGCCTCCTTTGGAGCGAAGGCCTGTGACTTGGCCCTGGACAAGGTCACAGACCTCTTTGACTACAGGCTCGAAGATGTCCTTGACTTGTTCTGCCGTCATGACGAGGAAGCCTGAGTCCAGCCCAGCATCTTCGTCATCGGGAAGGCCGGGGAAGCTAGGGAGGTTAGCGAGAACCAAGTAGGTATTCGGGTATACATACGGGACATTGACTTCCTGATGCTCATCCTCATTGAAATTCCGTTTCACAAACTCTTCAAAGTATCGAAGACCCATTTGCCATGTCTTGCCTTTCTTAGCCTTCATCTCATCAAACCTAGTCTGACCGAGACGGCCTCTAACATGCTCTTCAAATCGATAATTCAAGAAAGCACTTCCACACAGCCCTCCTGTTCCAACCGCAGACTCTTCTACACGGAGCGGCTTGAGCGAGATAATTTTATACGCGATCAAACTGCACATTGTCAGTACCACGCTAGGTGAAAGGGCTGCTAAACTTACTCAACAGTACCACCTCCAGCATCACAAACAATAAAATTATCACCCACATTCAGATGATTCGGCTGGATCGCCTTGAGCGTATACACAGCCGCAGCCTCAGGCTCACTGATCATCTGAATTTCGGACCTCAACCCCATACCCGCTCTCTCAGCAGCCTGCAGCGTAGTGTTCTTTGCAGCATCGCTCCAAACAGCCGGGCAAGTGAGTACAAACTCAACTTTTGTCGACGCCATGAACGACTCGCCGTACCTACGTGTGAGCGTATCCATGGTATGTTTGTAAATCTGAGTCAAGTAGTCACTCACGGCGTCGACGACATTTTTGTTGAAGCGCTTGAGCTGTGCGGCTGTGTCGAGCGGGCTGACGTAGAAGGGGAGTTTTTGAGATCGGTCTAGAAAGAGCTTGATGCAGCGAAGACGTGACTCCTCTGGCTTGAACTGGAAACCCCATTTTACTGTCGGTTCAGTGCCTTGCGGTGCATTGGGAGGAAAGTCATAGGCAATCTCAGTTGGGACTTTGTCCGATGTAATACCATTGCCGCCAGGCCAAGTCTTGATGATTTCTATATCATCAGGGGTAGAAGTGTATACGGCAGCAACACTACAAACATTAGCTTCATATTCTCTCTAAGCTTGAGGTACTCACCCTGAAAAGGTAGTTCCAAAATCAACACCCACAATCAAGCGATCATTCAGAGGCGTCTGCTCCCTCACTAATTCTCTAACAGGCCCATTGATAGCCTCCGTGGAGCTTGGGGGGGTATAACTGTTGAAGTAATTATTACGACTGTCCCGGTTCCGCTGGCTGCTTGTGCTAGGTCGCATTGGCAGATTGAGACTCATGATGGGCTGATTGATAGTGATACTGATAGTGATAGAGGTCCAGGTTTCTCAGTTAAATGCTCATCCATTAGTCCATGAATCCTTCAGCCAACACCGAATTTATCCCTCCCCCGCGTGAGATGATCCAGTCCAGCCTCGTCTTTAATGATTGATGCTGAGCGATCAAAAAGAAACGATATTTTAGAGAAAATGAGATAATCCAAGTTGGTGAGATGTTTAGATTATCCACTGGTAAGATCGTCGCAAAGTTCTCGGCTTTCTCAAAGTCCGTCCAATATGAATCAGTTGATTCGATGGTCGCTCAGCGTGAAACGTCTATCGTTACGTAGGGCTCAGGAACAAACACTGAATAAAAGTCGCCAACGACCCCCAAGAACAAAAATAGCGTTTGACACGTTTTAAAGAGACACAGAGATCGTCTCCGTTTCGTAATAGTCACCGCTCGTCGTCAGTTCTTGGCTTGGCTTACCAGGACAGGTGAGTGCTGCCTAAGGCAAGCGTCGTGATATTCGTTCTAGCTGGGCACGTGACTATGAATGATCACTTCATCCATGGCCTCTCACCATCTCAATTCAATTCAACTCATCTCTCGCTTGAGTTACATTGTTCAATTGTTTGAACAAGAACTCTTTCAGACTCATCTCACTAAACTCAATGTCATTGATCACATTGTGGCTCGCAATAATGACGCCCCAACAGTCACTCGTGTGAACCATAGTAATATTGCAAAAGTCTAAGAGATTTGCTTATTCCCATCCCAGCTTAATATTGTGCAAATAATACCGTGCATGTCACTCCTCAAGCCACCTCATCTCCTGTCTTTCAATCTCTAATTTGGCTGCCTCCCCGCTTTCCACAAATGTTGCCTCATTATTCTGACTTGATCCCCCACTGCTAAAGGGAGGCAGAAACTTTCTTGTCGAATTAACGAGACCGCCAACATTCTCCATCAAGCCCACGATGCTTAGTTCACATAGGCCATTGGGCAGTCCAAGCAGAAATAGCATAGAGCACATGAAACAGTAATTGTTTTGATATTTTGTTGATTAACCCCATGGTTCCCTCCTCATACCAAGGCATCCCTTCTCCTGTTGCCGGGGCGCGTAAAATTATATACTTTGATCATAAAATTGCAAACTGCTTTGTCTGGCATCCTGGCCGGCGAAAGACTCCATCTATTGATTCGACAGTCTCTCAATGCATTGACTGAAAAGGTGGGGAATAATGAAATGCTCGCTGACTTTTTTTACATGCTTCAAATAAGCAAACGATGGCCAAGTATGGCCGTCACTCTGTCCATCTCCTGGGGAGGTGTCCTGTTTGACCCTTTTTTGGTCCATTCAAGCAAAGATAACCCAAGAATATGACAAAGAAAATGGCCGGTCATATTCAGCCCAAGCACCTCAGACTCCTTTCCACCTTTCTTATATAGTAGTGAGACAAAGGAAAGAAATTGATTGAGTGGTATGTGTGTGGTATTGCTTCAAGCAGATTGCTGCGGCTGCGCTCGCCTGTGGTCTATAGGGGTATTTGATACTCAAGGTATAAAAACGAAGAAGAGCAAACGGTTCAAAAAGTGAGAGATGGCGAAGAGGTAATAGTAATAATAATGTGCAGAAGGCGGCATAACACTGCGGCCGGGTATTTGGTGAAAATGTTGAGTGATGAATCGAAGGGAGGAATAAAGTATGTATAGTCAAGCCAGTATGCCCAAAAATCAAACGGACCGCCCACGTTACAACAATGATAAAAAGATCAGAAAAGGGTCGCATATCTCAACCCAAACACCCAAACACCATGACCATGCGAGTCGATATCAATAACTTTTTCGGCGCCACTGGACGTAATCGTAACAGTATGTCAAGACGAAACACTTAGAAGCGACTGCCAGCAGCCCAGATGCTAGCGGCTGCTGATGCTGCCCACTCGCTTTCCTCATATGGTGGCGTGGGCCACTTGTACTGGTTATCAGTCTTCTTGTTGAGATCAAGTGGCCTGGGGGTAACAGCCTCGTGGCCATCGGCAAACAGGACCTGATTACCGTTGGCTGAGGGTGACGGCGTAGGATACGGGTTCATCAGCCCAATGTTGCTAGCCGACTGTCGAAGAGGCTTATCCTGGTTCTGCTCCATGCGCCTGACGGCCCGTTGAGTGGAAGTCAAAGCCTCGTCTAGAAGCTCCTCTTCCTCATCAGGAGCCTCATATTGATGCACGCCATGTGTCGCTTGGGCCCTCCTTGTCCGGCTAGAGATGGGTCCACCTCGAGCAGCACCGATCAGGTTGTCTACTGACCGGGCTTGGTGTTGAGGAAGCGAGTGATGTCGCTTGAGGGTGCTGGTAGGCGAGATCTGGTGACTGGGCGGAACGGGAGGTCGCGAATCGAGGTTGTTCTGAACATCTCGGAGGGCCTTGTCCAGGGATTCGTAGACCTCGGATTTAGGAATGGGAGCCTGTTGTTGCGATTGGTCAATAACCATGGACGACCGGTTGCTAGCCCAAGGGCCACATCCAACCTGGGCCTCCAGGTCGTCGTCATAGGCGGGTGAGACGGGGGTCTGATGTCGTCCCGAGAACCGCCGCGCACGCTTTCTGAGATGTGAAAAGAAGCTCTCCTTCTGTCCACTCGGAGGGGAGGCGAGGCCAGAATTCCCATTGAGTGCCCTTTCGGCCTGTTGCCGATGCATTTCTGTGTAGTTGTTTGTGCTTGAAGCGACAGAGAGCTGTCGGCCAAGTTTCTTGGTCTTCCCCTGGCCATGTCCATTAGCGTAAGAGTCGTCGTATGTGTTGTTGGCGCGGGCATTTACAGCATCAGGGATCGGCGAGATCGGTCGCGCAGTGGGAAGAATTGGCATGGGCGCTACGTTGGATGGGCCATTGGTCCAAGTGGTCCTCTTTCCGGCAGCAGGGCGAACCTTGGCGGTAGATGCCTCAACAGCCGATGAAGCATGTACAGGTGCGGGTCTGGGAGCAGTGGTATCCTTTGTTTGGGCCTGCATGGTAGCCAGGTCGGTGCTCTCAGAACGTCCGATGAGAGACTTGCGGAACCAAGATTGCTTCACAGAGGTGGGTGTGGTGGTAGCAGCCTCCTTGCTGCTTCGGCTGAGGTCGGACTGCTTGCGTCCAAGGATTCGCGAAGCAGAAGACTTGGGTCGCATAGGATCAACGGCATCAGCAAAGTACTCGTGGGCAAGAGCCTGCGATGATGTTGGGCGGTTCTTGGGGTCCCACATTAAGCACCAAGTGACGAACTGGCTCAAGGAGGTCGGCCATTGGGGTGTTTGCAGAATGGTGTCCATAGCATGGGGTGCCATCTTGGGGAATGAGAAGCCAAGCTTGCCAGCGAGTCTGGTCCCCTCACGCCAATCTCCTCCGCCGACGCGGTTACCGGACTTGTTGTACCAGTTACCAGGGCTGCCCATAATCTCACAAACTCGCCAAACTTGATCCACCTCGTTTCCACCGGGAAACAAGGGCTTCAATGTAGCAATCTCGACAGCCATGGCACCAACAGCCCAGATATCGACGGGGGCAGAGTATTCTCCCGCTCGTAGAAGAACCTCGGGAGCACGGTACCATCTTGTTGATACGTAAGTAGTGTAGGGGAGCTTTGAGTGTGTCTCTCGGGCGAGACCGAAATCGGCAATCTTAACAGTGTATGTGGGTGGTGTTGAAGGGGGAGTAACGAGAGCTGAGTATCGGCGGAAGGTGTTGCCAGATTCATTGTGACCAGAGGTAGTGACGAGAATGTTTTCGGGCTTGATGTCGCGGTGGAAGAAGTGGTGAGAGTGAATGTGTTCGAGACCTTGCATGATCTGGAAAAGAATGCTCTTGACACTGGCGTTGTCGAGACACTTGTGGTCGCGAGCCTTCATCAGTTGGTAGAGGTTTCCCTCCATGTACTCCATGGCGATATGGAGTTTCTTGGTGTAGGGGTCCAAGAAGATGTCGAGAGCGGGAACAAGGTGAGGATGTTGAGGGAGGGTGCGAAGGAAGACGACCTCGCGGAGTTCCAAACAAGGTGCTAGCGACTCGAAGCTCTTCTTCATTGTCTTGATAGCGACCTGCAGAAATGGTTACGGGAGCTGTCACACAAGAGGGTGCACATCGTATTGACTTACCACTGTACCTCGGCGAGCAACGTTGGCACCAGCCGTTCGAACTCTACCCAAAACGACACTGCCAAAGCTTCCATCGCCAATCTCCTTCAGTACTTCAAAGCGATCCTCGAGGGCAAGCTGTTGACCAGAAACACCCCGATGGGTCAAATCGTTTTGTACAGTCATCATGTCGGTTGTGATGGAGGGTCTCTATTTCGGATGCAGTGTGACACGCGAATGAGTTGGGGTCCTGGGGTACGAATGTTATTCGGAGGGTCCCCGAATTGGACGGCAGCCAAGTGAATATACCTAATCGGATCCAAAAACAAGAAGCTCTCTCGAAGAGCTAGAAATCGTTTTACCGGAGCATTCAGATCGGAAAAGTTGGTTTTGGAAAACGGCGGCGAACGAGCGTGGGACCTGACGGTGGGTGGGTGTGAGTGTGCGGCAGCGAGCGTGTGCAATTGTATATAGCAATATTGGTCCCTGAAGCAATCACTCGCGGTAGTAGTAGCAGTAGCACTGTTGATCGGATGGAGTGGATGTGGCGGCGGTAAAGGTAACGAAGTTGTAGATGAGTGAATGGAACTGAACAATGGGAGGTCGAGAAAGAGGGGACGGGATGTAAGTGTTTAGAATCAATCGAGACGACGATGGACGAGAATAAACGTCAATCAAAAGAGATGAGATCTCGCGAGAGGGTCCAGGTTCCAGAAGAGCAAAAGGAGTGACTTGAGTGAGGGTGATTGCAGAAGTGGATAGGGTCGATATTAACGAAAAGGAGAGCGAGAGAAAGCTCTTGACAAGGGCCAAGGGCCACGAGCCAGGGGGGGAGTGGCTTGAATTGGGGTGAACCTGACTGAACTGGACTGAACTGAACCTGCCGATCGGGGCAGGATCCTC